AAGTGTTGAAGAGCAGAGATGTCAGCTTGAGGACTAAGGTGCGCCTGACCCAAGCCATGGTATTTTCAATAACCTCATATGGATGTGATGCACTAGCCTCCTTTAAGTTTGCACTTGTTGGTGTCTTCCTATGTGTGTCCTCATCTTGCCTGGCCAATGTGGCAGGGTACAGTTTCTTCACACACATTCTTTCTGGAGACTGGTACCTCCCAGGTCTAAGATGATACAAGGGAAGTTTTTGTATTGTAGTTGGAGGATGGTGGTGGTGGTTATGTGCCATGGAGTTGGTTCTGGCTCATAGTGACCCTGTACAGGATTTCCAAGGCTATAAATCTTTATGGGAGCAGAAAGCCTCATTTTTCTCCCATGGAACAGCTGGTAGTTTAGAACTGCTGACCTTAAGGTTTGCAGCCCGATTTGTAACCACTATGCTACCAGAGCTCCTTGTTGGAAGATGTGAAGGAGAAACACTAAGCATGATAAGATGAGTTAGACATATACTCCTGAGCGGTTTCCCTTCCATATCAAAATCTGATTTGGCAGTTGCATTTCCTTACACTAACAAAGAGAGCTCTGAAAAGGAAATCAGGAAAACAATATCATTTACTATAGACACCCAAAAGATGAAATACTTAGCAATAAATCTAACCAGAGAAACAGACAAATACAAAGAAAACTTTAAAACACTACTACAAGAAACCAAAAGAAACCTACTTTTATGGAAGAATATACCATGTTCATAGATGCCATTGTTGTTAAATGCCATTGAGTTGGTTCCAATTTATAGCAACCCTATATAGGGTTTCTGAGGAGCAGTTGGTGGGTTTGAACTACCGACCTTGTGGTTTTTTGTCCAGTGCTGATCCTACAGCACCACACCAGGAGTCCGTTCATGGATGTTGTTGTTGTTGTTATGTGCCACGGAGTCGGTTCCGACTCATAGCGACCCTGTACAGGGTTTCCAAGGCTGTAAATCTTTACAGGAACAGAAAGCCTCCTCTTTCTCCCGCGGAACAGCTGTTAGTTTCGAACTGCTGAACTTGCAGTTCGCAGCCCGATTCATAACCACTACACTATCAGAGCTCCTTCATGGATAGGAAGACTTAATATTGTGAAAATGTCAGTGCTACCCAAGACAAGAAGGAACTCTGGTAGCGTGCTGGTTAAGATTCGGTCTGCTAACCTCTGGGTCAGCAGTTCGAAACTACCAGCTGTTTCGTGGGACAAAGATGAGACTTTATGCTCCTGTAAAGATTTACAGTCTTGGAAACTATAAGTTGGAACCGACTCCACGGTACATACCCATCACCACCCAAGGTGAGAGAAGTGCAGTAGCACTGTACAATAAGCACTGGACTGCAAACTACTACAAGGTCTGCTGTTTGAGCCCACCAACTGCTCCATGGGAGAAAGATGAGGCTTTCTGCTCTGACAGAGCCCACTGATACTGCTACTGTGCCAGTCCATCTTGTTGGGGGTCTTCCTCTTTTTCTCTGACCTTCCACTTTACCAAACATGATATCCTTCTCCAATGACTGGTCAGCACAGATCCGTGAGCGCTTCCAATGAGCACTCTGGTTGTATTTCTTCCAACACAGAGCAGTTGGTGGGTTTGAACTGCCAACCTTGTGGTTCACAGTGCAGTGCCGATCCACAGTGCCACACCTAATCCCCTCCCCCCCCAATACATACACAATCTATCCAGGATCTTCTACTATGATTCCTTTCATAGAAAAAGACCTTCCTTACCCATATCCTTCCATAATCCCTGTCTAGCACAGAGAATGAGTACTCTCATGTAGGAGTCTAGTCAGAAGTAGAAGTAGGATCCTTGATGGATGGGTGGGCAAAGGAGCTGAAAGGACCTGAGGAAGGGGAGACAGAGGGTCTGAGATACTCTCTCTATACTGACCCATAGGTGGCCACATGGTGTGCCCCAGCATCTAAGACCAAAGTTCCACTTCTTGGAGAGAACGCAGAGCCAATTTGAATGATCTGGTATTTTTAGTCTGGTATATTTATGGTTTGGCAAAGGACTTTGAGTATACGTAGACTGCCAGAAGATGACATCTAAGATGTCATCTTAGATGACATGCCACCAGAATGTTTTATAAAATTGAAAATGAGAATGACAAAACCTAGACTCCTTTACTTTGGACACATCATCGGGAAAAAAACAATATAGCTAGAAAAGGACATTATTGTTGGTAAAGCAGAGGGCCAGTAAAAATATTGGCTCAGTAGCCACAACAGTGAACTCAAACACACCAGTAAGCATAAAGATAACATGAGACCAGATAACATTTTGTTTTGTCATACATAAAATCACCATGTATCAGAGCCAATTGGATGGCAACTAACAACATGATTGATCAATGATGGATTTCATCAGTGAACCAGTGAATTGATGAGAGGGTGAATGTTTCTGTATCTAACCTGCTGTCCCTCTGGTTGGGGCACTTATCTCATGTGTCCACTTAGCAAGCTCCTGCTCAACATTCAGGACACTGTCCAGTGTTACCACCACTACTAGCCACTTTAAGATATAAAATGCTGTCCATGTCTGTGCTCCACCCCAACTATGAGTTTCCTCAGCATCAAAACTTGAGTGAAGCTGTCCATCAAGGTGCCCTGCCCACTCCCTGATAAGGGATGGAGCTTCACTCAAGCTCAGTCAGGACGGGTGCAAGGATGGGAAACCAGCTAGGAGTGATGTACCTAGTGGTACCTAATGAAACTTCTGGGGAAGGCTTGCTGCCTCAAGACCCTAAGATGCCTGGGGCCTGCCCTAGGACCCAAGGCTGACTCTAGAGCCTCCGGTTCATTCTATGAGTTCTTCAAGACGCTCCAAATATAGTCACCTTTTTGGTTCTCACCCGAGTTATATTCTGTTGTTTGCTACTGAGGCCCCATCGTCTGTGTCTTGGGCATGAGGTGCTTCTCAGAGGCCCAGGTTTGCTGAACTAAGGACCTGTGGGTGGCGCACATGAGGAATGGCTGCATGAACTTGGGAAGGAGGTGCTAGAAAGTGTCTGTGGGTGACCAGCACAGATTCCCAGAGAAGAAGAGCCTGTTCTGGCCCTGGAAGTATGGGAGAATTCTGTAGGAGTGGGAGTAGGGTGGTCTTCTGGGACTGGGCTTGTCAGGTTGTCCAGCAAAGGAGATCGTATGAGTGTGAAGGAGAGCGGAGGTCCTGGCTGAGGCATGCTAGATTATGTAGATGTGTTTCGAAGGTATTCAGGAACCCACTCATGGAGACAGTCTTTGGATAATTAAAATGGCTACTACACTTGGCTACTAACTGAAAGCTTGGATGTTTGTTTGAGTCTACCCAGAAGTACCTCAAAAAAAAAAAAAAAAAAGGCCAGCAGATCTATTTCCAAGAGATCACAGACGTTGAAAACTCCATGGGAAATACTGGTTACTATGAGTTGGAATGAACTCAACGGCAACTGGTGATAATCATGGAGGAGGTGTTCTTCCTTGAGGCTCTGGGGGTTATGGAGGATGTAGGAGCAGGTGCCATACAAGGTGGATGGGATTGGAGCAGGGAGCAGAAAGGAGGGTGGCCTGTCAGGGATGAGGCACATCAGATTTTTCCAGCAAAGGGGGAAGCACCTATTTGGCATGTTTCTCTTCTCCTGGCCTATCCTTTCTCCTCCAGCCATAGAAGAAGTGTTCTCCCAGTTTCTGACACAGCGCTTTAATACCAACAGACCTTCCCGACAGAAAGAGGTTGGGATCCAGTTCCCATCTCCCACCCACTTCCTGACCTCTGTCAGGAGGGACAGAGATTCTAGCATTCTGGCTGTGAGTCAGGTTCTGTGGAGTTAGTTCAGCCTGGAGTGCCTTCTTCTTTGAACTTCATCCCAACCCAGCTTCTTGGGAGCCTTCTAGGTCAAGCGGTGAAGAAAGTCCACCAATAGGTGCTCAGGGAAGCCAAAGTCCATCTGAAGCAGAAGGTAGCCCTAGAAGGATACGGTGTAGGGCAAGAGGGTCAGGATGGGCCAATGCCTCAAGTGCTGGGCCAACAGGAAGCAAGTTGGAGGACACCCGTCTGCTGGTGTCCCCAAGCCACCTGTTACCATGACATTGCTTTCTGTGGTCTCCCTCCCCAGGAAGTGGGGAGGATAGGGCTTGGTACTTACATCCTGAGTAACAATTTCAGGGTTGATTATTTCAAAGAAGTCCAGGCCTTTGCTGTTCATGAAGTCTGTAAGTGCCACCTCCAGCCCTGGGGCAGGGGAACAAGATAAGTCAGCTCTTCTTGGGGAGCAGGGTCAGCCTGAGGCTTGAGGCACCCTGAGCATGCAGAAACATTGGGACCCTTCCAGACCAATTTTGCATAAATATCTGTTTATCTTTGATTTACATGAAAAGTCAAGTGTTGCTGGGGACAGGAAATGGCAGGGGTTATCTGGTAGCGGGCTGTCACTAAGTTGTCCTGAGTAATTCCACTCTGCCCCAAACTTGAATCCCCTCCCACACTTGACCACACGGCCTCCAGTTCACTGGATCTACCTTGCTAGTAGGGAACTTAGGGGTCACCCGACACTGCTCAGGAGTCCCCAAGCAATGAATGCATTCGACTGCTAACTAAAAGGTTGGAGGTTTGAGCCCATCCAGATGCGCCTCAGAAGAAAGGCCTGGTGATCTACTTGTGAAAAATCAGCCTTTGGAAACTCTATGGAACACAATTCTACTGATACACACAAATGAGCTGGAGTTGATTCAACGGCAGCTGGTTGTGCCCTGGGGTCACCCCAAGATGCTTATCAAAGGAGCTTTGCAGCCACACACGGAAGTAGTTTCCCTACAAGAAGTTCTAGTAACGCAGTTCAGTCCACCTCCTTGGTACCTGGGGCAGATTGAGGTCCAGGGAGACCAAGATACTTAGCCAGGGTGATTCTGACTGAGCGTTCCACCCACTCTTTGCCCTCAACCAAAACCACATGTGGACAAGCAGCTATTGGAATTGAAGGCAGGTACAGTTCATGATGTCATAGATCCTACGGGGAAGGGGACACAAAGCTCTCAACTGTATCTTTTTCAAAATGCCCCGTGTACACGCTGTTCTGGGATCTGAGATTCCACCAGTAGAGTTATCTTTTGTGGACAAAGAACCTCCCATGTCAGGGTCAAAAGGGAATCTTCAAGTTCATCATATCAAGTTCAACACTTCCATTTTATAGGAAGGGAAACCGAGGCTCAGAGCTGGACCAGAACCTAGGTCTTCAACCTGCCAGTACAGAGTTCTTTTTGCCATCCCAGATTGCCATTTGGAGACCTGTGCGGTTAAACTGGGTTGAGTCACCCATGGAGTCGCAGAGATAATATTCTCCAGGTTAACCAGGACTCAGAGCCCCGGTGACTCAGTGGTGAAGAGCTCAGCTACTAACTGAAAGTTGGCAGTTCAAATGTACCCAGTCACTCTGTGGGAGAAACACCTGTCAGTCTGTCCTGTGGAGATTACAGCCAAGAGAACCCTATGGGACAGTTCTACTCTGGGTCAAGATCGATTTGATGGCTCCTAACAACAACAGCAACAAAACAACAACAAACCAGGACCAGAGATCTTTGCATCTGGCTAAGTCACTGACGCACATATCACCAGCAGGGAGAGGTGTCTTGAGGGAAAGAGACATAAGACTGATAAATATTGGTGGCTAGAGAATCAGAGGCACTTGGAGCTCTGGGAAGGGTCTAGAAGATGAAGTGAGAGCCTCCCCCAGCCTCTCCCCCAGCCTGCACTTACGAGACATGACCTCAGGGATGCCCACCATGGAGATCACCAGCCTCAGGAACCTCTGCATGGACTCAGAGCTCTGCCAACCAGAGGTTCATCATCAGTGCTGTCCTCCCATGATGCAGACGAGTGACTGGTGTTGCAGCAAGTAGCCTGGGCAGCCACTTGCTCATCCAGCCCACCCCTCTCCTCCTGCACCGCCCTCCCTAAATAGTGCCTCTTCTGAACAGTTCCTGCTAGATCTCGAAGAGAGCTCAGACTGTTATTCCATTCCATCGAGGGCAAACTGAGGCCTAAGGAGGTTTGAGTTGACTAGCACTCTCCCACCTAACCCCCTCACATCACCATGATCCCATTTCCTCCACCCAAGGGCTCTCCTACAAGGAGACACAACAGGGAGAAGGGTCTCAAGAGATAGAGGAGGACCACCTGCTCTAATTTCCTTTGGTCTGTGGCCTGGTTTCCTATAGAGTCCTCTGTCTGCCTTGTTGAAGACATGAGGTCCTACAGGCTGTTTCTCCCAGATTGCCAAGACCACCTACCTCAGTCAAGTTGGCAACATTCTTTGGTTTAATTCTGAAATCAAAAAGAGATGAAAGTTGTTGGCCTTTTCTTAGATGCCCTCCCACAACAAGTTCCCCAAAAGAAACTCTAGCAGTAATTCTAAGGGCTTTGAATAATAGTAAGACCTTCCTTGAAAGATTCCAATAGAAAAAAAGGCCAGGCTTACTGATCTGATGGACATCGTAGAACCCACAAGGTTACGGCCCTTAGGAACCTTTCAGATCTGGAATTGAGATCACCCTTGTGGGCCAACTTTCAGCCAGACAATGAATACACAGGGCTATAGGTGATCAGTAATGTCAGGGAGGTATTCACTCCTTAGAACAAGCAACATACAGGACCAAAAAGTGCAGCATTTGCCCAGGAACAAAGCTCAGAAGGCAGAAAAGAAGGATGAGTGGACACAGGAAGCAGAGAGAAAGAGGGAGAAACGCTGTTATATTGTGGAGATTACAACCAAAGCCCTGAAACAAAATGTGCATGAGTTGTTGAATGGAAAACAAATTTGCTCTGTAAACTTTCACCCAAACCACAGTAGAAAGTTAAAAAGAAAGAGAAAAGAAAGACAGAGGCAGAGAAAGGAAGGCAGGCAGGAAGAACCCCGTAGAGGGTGCTCTTCAGACCTGCCATTTCAGGTCCCCAGACCCTTTCTGCCCTCCTTTCAAACTTCTTGGTGTCTCTACCTCCCATTTAAGACTGTGTCATAGGGGTCATAGGAGTCCTGTGTCACTATGTTAACAGAAAGGTGGGCAGTTTGAAGCCATCAGCCACTCCAGAGAAGAAAGAGGCGGCAGTTGGCTTCTGTAAAGATGACAAGCTTTGGAAACCCTCTGGGGCAGTTCTACTCTGTCGTATAGGATCACTCAGCGTCAGATCGACTAGACAAGTTTTTGGTGGGGGTATTCTCCCCCCTGGCATTGACTGTGGAAGGAAGGAACCATGTTTCCCCTGCAATACCCAACACCCGCCTGGCATTAGAGGGGCAAGGGAGAGATTTGCTGAATTGGCTGCCCCCTCCCCTCTCTGTAGCACCTACTGGAAATCCAAGAGGTTTAGGAAGAGCTTCTTTTTGGAATAGGACGCCTGGACGGTGGTGATGATGTCCTGGGGAGAGAAGTCAGATTCTCAGTGAGAGTGGGCCTTCCCACAGCAGAGAGCCATCCTCCTGCCCGGGAGATCAGAGAGTCATGGGGAGCAGTGGGCCCTGGGGCCTCCTGGTCTAGCTGTTGACCTTCTAAAAACCAGGAAAAGTTTCCAGCATCTAAGATTTCTTGATCAGGACCCGCCAAGTCATGGGGGCACTTTCTCTTCTGGTTTCTGATGCATCTACATCTGAACCACTCTTCTCTCGCTGGTCAGAAACAAACATAGACTAGACTTCCCCACATGGCTCACTTCCTCCACTTCCAAACCATCACTGAAGCATCAGAAGCTTGATGTGCAGACAGTTGGATTTCTCTGCAGCTGTATTTTCCAGAGACAAATAGGACACTAGATGGCTCGACAACAACAGCATCACCTGAGAACTTGTGAAAAATGCAAACTCTCAGACCCAACCTTAGGCCTAAGAAATCAGAAACCTCTGCGAGTGGGCAGGAATCTGTCCAGGTGAATCTACTGCATGCCAAAGTTGGAGACCCACAGCAGGAGGAAGCTTTCAAATAACCTTTGTTTCTCAGTTATAAATTGTATGAGCACCTTCCCTGGATCACCTATTTGTTTTTTCTTCATACCGCCAGGTGCAATTAGTGGGTATATAGTCTTTTGTTTGGCTAGTTAGGTATTGTCTATCTCTATTCACTAGACTTTATAAGTTTTGTGAGGTCAGGAACCACTTGAGCCTCGCTGAGTGTAAGAACACAACAGATGTTTTTGTTGACTAGACAAACATAGGACTGGAGGTAAGAAACCACAGACTTTAATATGATATGGCAAGTGACCTTGAACAAGTCTCCTGCCAGTTCTTAGCCTCTGGGCCTCCCTCTGTGAAGGGGTGGCTTTGCTAGCCCCAGACATCTGCGCTCCTTCCCTGTCATTCTAGTCGGGCTCAGATGGATGCTTCTCAACCCAACTGACTTGTACCAACATCCCAACCAGATGCTATCTTTCCCCATTTTCCTTTCCAAAGCCTTCTGTGGCTTCCACCACCTCCTCCTGGCTTCAAGACCCCACAACATGGCCTACTTGTAATTCTCCCACGCCCAAAGGACATACCCAGAATTCCCATTTCTGCTTCTTCCTCAATGAGACATATTTCCTACCACCCTCTCCCTGTCCCCTGAGATTCAAGCAACTCTTTCCCAGAAGTATTTCCTTCACAGATTGCTAAAACCATTAACATACACAAACACCAAACACAGAGCAAGAAAGGCAATCTACAAGAGGGGACTTGGAGTAAAGTTGGTATGGAGAAGGAATGTGAAGTCCCTCAGAATGAGCTCTTGTTGTTAAGTGCTGTAGAGTTGGTTCCAACCATCATTAACCCACAGTGCCACATCAGGACTGCTGATGGACCAGTATTATCCCTAATCCCTTTGTGTATGTCTCCAATGTTTCTGAATCTATTGAAACAGAACATTCTGGGTTTGCATGTGTTTGTTATAGTACTCTGAACTTTTCAAATCCTTGTTGCTATTGCTGTTAAGGGCAGTTGAGTTGGTTCCAGCCCATAATGGCCCTGTATAGGGTTTCCAAGGAGCAGCTGATGGGTTCGAACCACTGACCTTGCAGTTAGCAGGCCAGTGCTTATCCCACAGTGCCACACCAGGACTTCTTCAGATCCTTAAAGAACAAAAAATAAGTACATAATAGAAAACTGAAAAAAAAAAAATTTTTTTTTTTCTAGTAGGTTAAATGCAACATGGAATCTTGGGTTGCTTCCTGAAACAGATCCCAGAACAGAAAAAGGGCACTAGTGGAGAAGCTAGTAGAATCCCAGTAGAGTCTGCAGTTTGGCCAACAGTACTGGACCAATGTTCAGTCTCAATCATGACAAATGATCCATGTTTGTAAAAAATAGCAGCATAGAAACTAGCCAAAGAGTCTAAATATAAACTTATTTAAAAACAAAACAAGGGGAGAAAACAAACAAGATGGGTGAAAGTGCAGTGAGGAGCTCTGTCAGCAATAACATAGAATACTGGACCAAGCAGGCTCAGGGGATGGTGCCAGAACTCTGAACCACATATAAAGGGATATTTAGAAGGTTGGAAGGCTTACAACTAGGGGGAATTTGTAGCAGAAGCAAGAAATCCAGTGCTTTCTAATCCAAGATGCTCAGCTGCTCCTAGAACCACCGTCTTGGGCGAGACCTAGTGGGAGAAGGACCAGAGCAGCCATGGAGGCCTGACAGAACCGCAGAGATAAAGGTATGGACATTCTTTTTTTTTTTTATATCTGTTCATTGGTCTCTCACTGTCTGCATAACTCCATTCTGGTGACTAAAGGGGTGCCTAAGCAAGTGGACACCCCACCCCAACCCTGGAGGGTTCTACTACGCATGTACACAGATCTCCTCAAAATTTAAACTGACAGTTTACATTTAAAACCAAACAGTAGTGCAAAACGGCCATAGCTGGTCCTAAACTGTTTATCACTAGGAAAAATGCCTGAATGGGGATTGTGGAGAGGACAGGCAGACTAAAAAGGAAATAGGCTGAAAATTAAATCCTGAGTTATGTCATAATGACCAACAGTGGCATCTTGAAATTTCTCAGGAAGAAAAGTGAAAAGGGAAGCCCATCTCCTGATCACATCTACCTGATGGCAATCAGAAAGCATAAAAAATACCAAAATACACACCCATCTTAGTATTAAGGCCAGAGCTAACTACTGGAATATGCCAAAAAAAAAAAAAAAAACCAGAAACAGATGACCGTATCAGCACATGTCCAGAAACAAGATAGAGTGACTGAGGCAAATGAGCTGGAAGTGGACCTACACTTCATACTGGAAGATGGGCAGGCTTTGGAAATGTCTGAGAAGGAATTCAGAAAAATGATTATAAAATGTATCAAATCACTATACAATGGAGTTGAGAGAAATAAGGAGTCCAGAAAGCACTACAGGAACAATCAAATAAGATAGATACAACATTGGAAACAACTCAAAGCCTACAGAAAGAAGTCCAAACGATTAATAATAAAATACCAGAAATGGAAAATACTCTGAAAAGGCAAAGGAGTAGAAGTGAAGAGATAGAAGCCAGAACTAGTGAGCTAGAAGAGAAATCTCTCAACACTACTCAGACAGAAGAGCAAGCAGAAAAAAGAATTAAAAAATCTGAAATTCTAAAACTCATGTTGGACAATATGAAGAGGAATAACTTAAGAATTATTGGCATTCCAGAATAGGATTAATCACACAAGTCCAAAGACAAGATAGTTGAAGAACTTCTTGTAGAAATTTCCCTAACACCCTGAAAAGCAAAAAGATAAGCATTCAGGAAGCTCAACGAACCCCAGGAAGGATAGACCCTAAAAGAAAATCACCAAGACATATAATCAAAGCTCTCCAAAATCAAAGATAAGGACAGAATCCTGAAGTCAGCTAGGGAAATGAGAAGTTAACATACAAAGGCAAGCAAATCAGATTAAGCTCGGCTCTTTCAGCAAAACTATGCAGGCAAGAAGGCAATGGAGAGACATATATAAAACCCTGAAAGAAAAAAACTGCCGACCAAGAATCCTCTACCCAGCAAAACTGTCAATCAAATACGAGGGTATAATCAAAATGTTCCAAGATAAACAGAAGCTAAGGGATTTTGCCAAAGCCAACCCTGCGATGGAAAACATCCTAAAGGGAGTTCTGTGGACTGAGAGCCAACAAGAACAGACAACAACCAGAGATTGACATACACAGCAGCATCACCCTGAACTCAGTCGACAAATGGAAGAGTAGAGAACAGAATAAAATTATAAGAACAGAGGATCTGGGAGATCATTCTACGATCAAAACAATTACAGTGTGAAAGAAGGTAAACACAGAGGAACAGAGATCCAGGTGGTGATAATGTCAGGTACATTAAAGGATAAAGTAGACTGTCTTAAATGGAGGGAAGAATTAATGGAATATAAGGTAACAACAACAATGGGGTTGGGGTGGGGGGTTTAGTTCAGGTGTTGGGGAGGGCAATACAAGAAGGGGAGGAGGTGGAAGAACAAGATAGATAGGGGAACAATGAGACAGGTTTGTATAGCCTAAGTGGGACAGAGGTAAATAGTGATGCATGCTCAACCTTGGAACAACAGGGCTCTGTGATACAGGGATCTAGGCATAGTTTGAAGAGGGCAAGAATACTAAGATGCTTGATGGTCTTATGAATATCAGTTTCTCTTGCCTACTACTGTAAAATAGACATTTGAGTGGGATACAAAGGAATGTTGGGAAACATGATTACAGAAAACTTGTAAGCCTGTCTTCAGCCTGTAACTGATTGGAATGCCTTAAAGGGTTCTAGAACTTGCTCAGTGAAATAGACCTCTTGCAGAGCCTTTCAGGGTATAGAACCTTAGGTGGAATCCTGAATCCCATCCAGAACCTTCTGAGGTGGGACATCCCCACAGCAAGGACAATCAAACCATCCTGGAACAGCTAGAGCAACAGAAGATACATCTTCAAAGAAAGACCATCAGGAAAACCCCAAAACAAGAATGTCAGCATGACTGACTACCACAAAAATAAGCAAGCTGTTTGCCAGGAAACCATCAAGGCAAGCAATCAAGATCCTTCAGGGCAAACTCCTCTCTAAGACTGAAACACAAAAGGAACACATGAGAGGGGTTTGTAACCATGGCAATGAGATGATATACGATAAAATGAATGTAAAATTAATGTTCTCTCATGTAAGCTATCACATAATTCACAATAAAACATTTAAGGAAAAAAAAAAAAAAAGGAACACATGAGCAGGCATGTAAGCTTGCTGGTGACCACATTGGTCTACTGGTGAGTGGAAGAGGGGGCAAGGTAACAATGAAGAAATGGG